TTGATAGATACGAAGGTCATTATTTTCTAACTTATAAAGTTTTCTAATCCTTATGAGATTATTACTAAAAATTAAAATTAAATTATTATAAAAAATAAAGTTTTTGCAATGTACTGTGACTTAATAGCTGCATTGAAAATAAAACAAAAAATACGGTGGACGAAATACGTTAATTATTAATATTCATACATTCTTTCAGATAAACAACTTTCATGCGTGTGTACAATTTTTTTATGAGTATTCAAGATAAAAAAAATTACTTATACTTCTCTTTTCTCTGTAGATGCAGTAAAAAGGGTATTATAAAAAAATTAGTTTAAATTGCTTCTGGAATTTTGTTCAGCTTTACTCTTCCTGTGGTACTACACGTGATTTGTCGAATATTAAAAAATTTCATATATTCCGAAGATATACAGCATTATATACATTAGAAAAAAGTAAATTAAAGCATTGCTCTCATTGTCCCTAGATCTGATTAAAAATTATAGTTAAAGATATTAAAGAACGTTGACATCAAAGTATTCTCAACAATTTATTATCTCAGGCTTACTTGCACTCTTCCTCTTTTTTTCTTTTTCTTTTTCAATTTTTCTATTCAAATAAATTAATATAATAGTGGATACGATCACACATTACTTCTCCTCCATTGTCATGTCTCATTGTTGTCTATCATGTATGCGAAAATTTTGATGAACGAGGTTAGAAAATAAAACAAGGGCAAACTCACCTTGTGGGCACAAAATTGTGTTCATCCCTTTTTTGAGTTTTCTCGTAGTGTACAAATCTTTTGAATTCGTCTAAGTTAAGGATGCTTCATAGCTTGCGCATTGATTTTCCCTCACATTTTGCGCATGCGTACGTTGTGCCCCCACCTTCTCTCGCATAATCTTGCACTTCCTTCATAAGAATCCAACTAGATTTCTCATGCATATCTTGTGAACGAGCGATTAACTCGCTTCCTCCTTTCTTTTTGGCTTTATACTCTTGCTATTAGTGTGAGTTTCGACATTTCTTTTCGTTTTAATGGACGAAATAGGTCAAGGTCTGGTTGATAGAGTCGCCAATGCGGTGATAAAAAAACAGTTTTCATTCGGGCATTCTTTTTTACAAATTCTGTATGACTACAAATAAGCATTACTGCAGATTTTATGTAAGCTATGATTGAATAGTTTGGGAGGGGGCTATATAGATCGCTCCATGACAACTTTCTTAATTTCCTGGAAATGCAACGATTGAGCAACAACACACGTTCTTATTGCGTATTTTATGTTTTCTAACTTTTATATTACTTTCTGTTATTAGATTTTTATGGATTCGTTCCTCAATTTTAGCACGTGAAGATACTTAATACAACATATTTAAATAAATTATTAAGTAGTAATTGTTGATAGAATAAGATACTTTGTTAATAACAATAATAAATTATAGTAAGAATTGACTATTTAAACATTTGAATTTTTGTATTATAACTAATTATTTCTATATGAAAAACTAATTACAACGTATTGTTATATTGTTCGAAGAAAAAGTTATATAAAATTATAAATATAAAATTTAAAAGATTTCATAAAATATTAATATATGTTTATGAAATACGATATTATAAAATTTATTTATTAAGATAATATACTTGATTATTGATTGTTAATAATGAATAAGTAATTATTCAAACGAAGTTTTTAAATTATTATTAATCGCATTAGATCTTGTAATTTCATTTAATTCGTTTTATGAATAATATGAAGATATTTCATTTAAGTTTTTAAATTTGGATATGATTATAAATAAATTTTTTTTTATTTAACTTAAAAAGTGATATATTTTTAAAACTATTTATATATGAAAAATAGAAATACGCTTTGTGGTTAACAGGTTTCTAACTAAGGAGAAGCGTGTAATCGTAAAAGAGCTCAGTAGTCAGTCATCACATTTTCAGAGTTACAAGAAGGAGTGAGAGAATTTTTGCCTGAGCACGCGCGCGCACGTGTGTGAGGGAGATGGGATATAGACCTTGACTGTAGCAGTTTCGTAATCTAACCTTACTATTTCCCCCTCTAGCGAACCATTACACCATCTTTCATTTCTACCGTCCTCCCGCATTTTATCTGCGTTGTTTTATATGTATCTTGCTTCGTGACCCTCTACGCACACAATGGGGGGACCACGCGAATTCCTGGGTGTGTGTCGTTTTACATATATACATATATGCGTAAACACGTTCTTGTCCTCCTTCAGTAATTCTAACTCTTTTGTAGCCCTTCGTCATTAATACATTTAAACCTTTACTCTCATGTTCTTTTGTTTTTGACTTGTTCGCTATTTTGGTGTGTGTGTACGAGAACTTGTGTGAGTGAGAGAGAGGGAGAGAGAGAGAGTATGTGTGTGTGGGAGAGAGAGAGAGAGAGAGAGAGAGAGAGAGACAGGCAGAGGTGAGAGAGAAGTTCGAGATGATGCGAAGGTCAACTTTCAAAACGTGTTTGCTCGACGTTCTGTTTCTATATCTAATGTTTTTTGTTTTACTATATTTTATAATCTTTTGAGCAAAATCCGATTTTTATGCTTTCTTTTTTAATGCCTTTATTTTATTTGTATTTATACGCATTAACAATTATTAAGTTCATTATTAATTTATATTGTTAAATTCGGTTGGTACTGAAAATCCTTTTTTCAAATACAGGCTACTAGAAAAATCATTAGAAAAATCAGTTATCTCGAGTGTTTCTTCTTTGATATTATTATTAATGCGATATAGTGACTATAATTACTATTATGAACTTTTTATATAATATTTTTCGACTTCATTATATCAACGAATTTTATCAACGAAAAATTGTTGTTACCTTTTTATATCTATATTTATTTTAATTTTTTTAATTTGTAATTTGGTATTATCATGATCACAAACTGATCTGAAAGTCTTGACACGTAGGATTGAACAGGGCTTTTGATATTTACTAAATAGCAATAATTGATAAGTGTTATTGGCTTTCCAAACTTTGAAATATTTCAAAAACGTGTTTATGGAAACACGAGTGTGAGAGTTATGGCGATGAGAACGAGAATAAAATATGAGGAAATATATAAATGATCAAGACAAGATTCTAAAGTGTCTTGATTAACGTACTGAACAGCAGCATCTGCTGTATATTTTCAGAAAGTTAATTTTTTCGGATAGGTATTTTTTTCTACAGTCTCAAACCCTTATTATACCGTTTCATAATGATGTGTCGTTTTTTGCTTAATAATTTGTAATAATTTTCTCCTCTTTTGCAATCGTTATCTCTTTGCTTCATCGTGAGTACGAAGAACTCGTTCGTATTAACTTTTTTTTTTAACGGTGCACATCATAATTTGCTTTTGTATTCTGTAGGATCCTTCACGCTTGATTACTCAAGGGTATAGTGTGTGTACTGAGATTATCACCACGAACGTACTGATCCCCGTTTTCGTCTGATTTAGCTTACGTATACACGCATACACTTTCATTTATATATAAGTCTAGCTTAAAAAAAGAAATTCAGCTTTATCTGGATATATCAAGTCTTGCCCTTGAATTTTAGTTGGTAAATTAAATTTGATACATTCAATATTTATTATATTCGATAACAGTTAGCAATATTATTCGTTAAAATTAATAATAAAAATTAATTATATATATATATAATGGACCTAATCTTCCCTAGATAATTTTATGCCATTAATAAGCTAGAGAAGCCTTGAAATGTAATATGAGTGGTTCCAAATAATTTTTGTTTTTTTGTCTTGATGCGGAGCACTTGTTATGCAATACATTAATTTGAACTAATATTAGAATGACAATGAATGTAAACTAATTATTAGGTAAAAGCTGTCATTTATTTGACAAAGCTGTTGTATATCTGTATTTATTTAAGCGTTTGAAAATTGCGAGCCTAAAATCGTCCTAACATTTCTCATCTATCCAATCGGCAAACTTTATATCCCAAATGATGACCGGGTAACAAAGAGTGCTGCAAGGTCCTGGACATTGCAGCACGTGTGCCTTCTCTGTGAGGTCGCGTCAATGTTAGGCAGCGGTGGAATGTCAAGGGAAGGCAGATTCGTTTTTCTTGTAGTGCGCGTAAGACTCCGGCTGATGACTTAATCGCATCAGCTGGAAATAAATTAAGCACTTTGCTTGGCCTTGCAGCAGGCGAGAAATCAAAAGCCGCGTTCTTTCTAATGCTTCGGCAAACGCGCCACGCAAACGGCACATGTCTCGCACTCTTCTTTGCCTACACACCCGCTTTATTCCCTCCTCTGATCTTTTCCACTACTTCTCGTTCTATTCTTCACTCTTCCCCCCTACCTCCATACAATTCAAACATTTCACACACCTATTTATCTCCTTGCTCGTGACGCATTTTCTACGCCTTTTTCATTTCATGGTCTTCCATCTGTGGATGCTGGGAGTGTGAAGGAACTTAACGACGATGGCGCGTGTGCATGTTTTAATGTGTAGTTGGTTGCCTGTATTAAATCAATCCTTTTTCAGATCCTTTTTTGAGATAAATTGTCGATTTTTCGAGTTATGTTTAAATGTTAATTTAATATATTCCTTAAGCTCCATTAGTGTGAATTGATCAGCCACATTGAGAATTCTTACTATATGTGATTTTAAATTAAAAAATTAATTAAAAAGTAATTTAACGTTTAAAACAAGACGTGTACATTAATTTTTTTATTGAATTGATGTATTTACAAATATAACTAGTTTATAAGTGAATAAAATGTTTCAGTCATATATTCACATGAGTATCGATACTTAAAATTTAAATAGTCGGTGCAGATTTTCATTTTTGAACTATTCAATATTTTTTAGCTTTTTTATTCACAACATGATGATTTGGAGCTATGAAGAATTTAAAGAAGCTGGTCAGCTTTTAATAATATGGAGCGTAAGATTTGAGCTAAAGAAATAGATAGAGTAAATTCTATATAATTTCGAATAAATCACAAGTAATGTATTTGCTTTATTTCAGGGAAGAAGCTGAAGTGTCCGTTCTGCGAGAGGCTTTATGGCTATGAAACGAACCTGCGGGCACATATTCGTCAGCGGCATCAGGGTATCCGCGTACCGTGTCCTTTCTGTTCGCGCACTTTTACGCGGAACAATACCGTACGTCGGCACATTGCCCGGGAACACAAGCCTGAACTGAGCCTAAAAGCCCTTCAACAGGCTAATCATTCAGTACCGGATGCTGTGCAACAGTAGCTGGGAGTCCGCGGGAGGCGCGCTGGCAGCATAACGAGCATCGCTTCGAAAGCGTCGCGAGCCAAGTGACCCGCTATCCATCCATCTACATTCTCATCTACACAGGCTCATATACACATATGTACACACAGATGCAGACTAATTTGACTTCCTGTATATCCTCCCTAGCCTTAATCTTCCCACAAATCTATACATGGTGTGCGAGCCAACTCTCGCAGCGAGAATTACATAAAACTAGTCAATAAAAGTGCAACGGTCGAGAGTAAAGATTAAACCATTTAATAAAGTATCGCAGAGAACATATGTCCTCTCACCACCACCATTCTTATAAATTCTAACTCCCAAGAAGTCGTGCTGAGAGTTAAAAAGTAGAAGACGGAGTAGAGTGGTTGTTTATCCAAAGTCAGAGGTCGTAAGGACGTTGCCGAGCGCCACTGAGAAAGATGTATAGAACTAGCATAAATATTACATAAAGCTTGAAAAACATAGATCTATCATCAAACTGTGTGCATATCAATGATGATTATAATATAAGAGTACTAATTAATACAATCTAAAACTTGGATAACGTACGAGGAGTGATAATGCACATTTGTTTGTGACGTGCGTCGGAGGTACGAAAACGATCTTTACACCCATTCTATTCAATGATTACCCTTTTATAAACAGAAGATTTAAAAGAGAATTGATAATTTATCGTTACCGCAATAAATACAAAGACTATAGTTTATAACGAAGAGGAAATAGTTTTAAAAAAATATATCGACGTCTACAAGATTAAAGAATTAAACTAAACTGAACTGCGATAGGCTGATAAATGATCATATTGATAATAACTGTTGAAACTGAGTCTATTGAGCCAATAAGCCCATAATTTGCCGTAATGTTATTTTTACAAGACTATACATAGAATTTAAGTTTATAAGTCAAAGTAAGGAAATGCCTCTTATGCACAGTGCCAAACTACTACTACTACTACTACTACTACTACTACTACTACTACTACTACTACTACTACTACTACTACTACTACTACTACTACTACTACTACTACTACTACTACTACTACTACTACTACTACTACTACTACTACTACTACTACTACTACTACTACTACTACTACTACTACTACTACTACTACTACTACTACTACTACTACTACTACTACTACTACTACTACTACTACTACTACTACTACTACTACTACTACTACTACTACTACTACTACTACTACTACTACTACTACTACTACTACTACTACTACTACTACTACTACTACTACTACTACTACTACTACTACTACTACTACTACTACTAAAGTATATGCATGATAATTGAATTTTAAGAACATTAACAAGGAAGAAATAAAACAAGAATCAACGATAATCGCGCATAATTGCCGCTTGAACTTTCGTGAAGGATATTTGCGGTGCATCATAATTAAGACTGCAATATTTATATATCGATTGATTCCGTACGTGCAATAGAGAACGATATAGTTAGTAAAATGCGAAAAATATACAGGGCGCCTTTTGTACGTAATTTTCTGCCCCTGAGCGGGATACGCAACGATTTATAATTGATGCAAATATTTTTATACATACTAAGCCTGCACTTTTAAAATAAATTATATATACATACATATATATATATATATATATATATATATATATATATATATATATACACATAAATACGTACGTATATACGTATATACATAGAGAAATGTATTTAATTGTATGTATGCTATCTTCTTATCTTTAACAAATGAGGATGATTTTGCGCCTTCTTCACGAGACTTCACTAAATAAAGAAAAAATAGGAAAATGCAATAGCGGCAATTGTGACGCGTCAGGATTACATATGCATTTATTTGCAGAGCAAAACAATCAATATCATTTTGTTAACTATTTACAGTGTTTAAGAAAATATCGGATTTTTGTCCGAAGCAATAGTAAAACGCGATTTTTATAGGTATATTAATAAATAAGTGAAATACATAAATAATATAATTAAACATAGTTGCCGCCTGGTCGTCAAATATGATGATAAGAGAAGAAATAGTTTAAAATGAAATAGAATCAGGATATGACAAATTAAAAATTTCATGAAGTATCCAGTCACAGTGCCGTTTTCACACCGGGAGAGAGTGCCATTAATATTATAACTACTATTGTTGTCTTTGATTTCTTCATTTTCTCTTGAAAAAATACATTAAACAATTTTTAAAGTCAAGTGTATTCATTCTTATCATCATAAATTTTGTATTCATTTGCTTCAAATGAATTAACAGAGTACAAATACTAATAAGTACAAAACTTTATTTTTCAGTACTCATACAGTACGTTGTATATTTTAAAAAGATTTGCTTTTATAAGCAGTCATTTACACACATTTAATTTAAATATAAACTTAAAATTATATTTTTAACATCGCGATGATTGATTTTGTTTTATTTTTTAACAATATCAGGAATTATAGATGTCAATGCCAATTGTATAATGTTATAATGTCAAAGTTAAGTACTCGACCACCTTAAACTCAATTGGAAGACAATTGAATCTTACTGGATTGGAAGCTTAAATAATTAGGGATACTTCTAGTCAGTATAGTATGGCGATATTAATTGTTGCAGTATTTACAAATTTTTAAAACAAATTTTTTCTCCTAATTATTTTTAATATAATAGTTCAAGATAGTTTTTGTTACAGAACAATTAATAGTGTATTATTATAGTTATCTCACAACGATATGCCTATAATACTAAAATGTTGTTTATATCAAATACAATAGGCAATAGATATTTATTTAATGTTTATTAATATTAAAACCAGAGATTATGAGAGGCATTTTATACATCCAAGACAGTATCGTTTAAACAGAATGAGTTACAATGAAGTAAACAAACGGTATAAGTAAATACAAATGATAGATATTAAACGGATCGATAATAATCAATAACCAGACTAAAAATCATAAACTAATATGCACGTATATTTGCATGAATTTACCAAAAGTATAAAACTTGCTACCTCACAGCCTTTTCAACTAATAGTAATATTTTAATGTATTCAAATACCTACAACCAAGATATATATATTCGCATTAATTACATATTTGTAAGCATGCAATCGTACATTTGAACATGTGTACATATGGTTTATTAAGATTTAGATACGTAATTATTATGAAGGAAGTGTCTTCATTTTATATTTACTTTCAACGCTTTATTTTCAGTTATACATCATTTCAATACTTCCTAGTTAAAATAGTTATTTCACTTAAATGAGATGATAGATCACTACTTCAATGGAAACTAGGTATTAAATAATTATTTACTTTAGACAAGAATAGTTTATTAGGGAGAATTTTATTTTTGCATTTTTACATCTATTAGCTTTGGTTTAAGAAACATATATCATAAAATTCATAATTCCTATACTATTATTAATTAATAGTAGTAGTAAATTAGAAACAAATAATAAATTATCAACTTATTATTACAATTGTTTGCAACAAGAAAATAAAAATAGATTTTTTCACTAGGCTTGAATTTCATTCAATTGCAATAAAAAACAGAATAAATATGTTATTACGATAAAATAAATTTTTTTATTTAATATTTTATAGAAATACGAGAAAAAATGTGAAAAAGATCACACATTAATAAAATGAAGTTAAAATTGTATTCGCAATAGAAAAATATAGACGTAAAATTGTGTGCGTGAGAAATCAAGATACGAATGAATGACGTTGCACTATTTTTATGATGAAAACTAATTGAAAAATAAAATTAGAATTTTGATTGTATACATATGTATAAGTGAAAAATTATATCTATAGAAAAAAATTTTGCTTAAAGATGAAAAAAAAATTAATTATAAGTTTAAGCACTGCGTCAAAGTGCAACAGTATATAATAATTTGAATGAGATAATATTTCATGAAAAAATATGGTGTACGATAAGGAAAAAAGTGGGAAGAAAAAAATAAGTTAAAGGGCTGATTAGATTTGGGTTGATATTTTCAGGGTTGTTTACCATTGCCGGTGTACCTCGAAAATTAACAATACTATATTTGAAAAATTCGATAGAAAGTTATATACATATAAACAAATATGAAAACACAAAATATATGATTGTAGATAATAAAAAAAGTGGGAGAGAAAAGTGCACAAAGACACTATACTAAACGAGGACGCAGTACTATTATAGTTTGTATATAAATTTTCTTTTACTTGTTTTGCATAACTTTTGTAGGATGAATTAAAAACATATTCTATTTACATAATATAAAAAAAATATTTTTTCATTTTTCAGACGCGTTGTGTCTCTGCTGAGCGGAGATAAAATCGTATCATATGTAATTTTTTCAGTACGACTGAAAATTCATATTTTTCTCTATTTTTTTTATTTAAGTTTGTTAAGTTACCATATGAGGTAAGGAATTGTCTCATTTGTCATTTATTTTCTGTAATATTATATGGCGTTAAATTATAGTGTACACGAAATAATTCGCGAAAACTTTTTCTCTCTCTGGAAATGTGTCGATAATATTAAGAATCCCAAAGGATTTTTGTGCTTTTAAAAAAAAAATTTTCACTGATTTGTATATAGATTTATACTTTAAAAAATATTTATAATAAATACAAAAAAATTTAGCACTTTAATAAGTGTATTGACATTTTTGTATTTAACAATAAATTATAGTTGAATTTAAGAGCTTTAAAAAATAAATAGATTGGATCGACACATTTTCTAGATTTGCGCTCATACTCTACATATAATATATCTAAAATATTTAAGAGATAACATGTCTTTTTGTAATTGTGCATGACGTGTTTGAAATTATATATCAAGATAAAAATTTCTTGAATGTCTGCGTTGGAAATGATAAGTAATTTTGAAAAAATCTAAATAAAACGAATGTAAAACTAGACATATGAATGGATGTATAGAGATGATTAAGTAAAGCAAATGATATATACCTATATGTGTATATGTGTATATGTGTGATATATATCATACGTACATATATATCATATAAGACATATATACAGCATGCACACACATATGGATTATTTATATAAAATATTATTACCAGTATATAAAGTTATAATAATTATTGCATGGAGAGTAGGAAAAACGCGACAAGACCATTGAGACGTATGTGTATAGTTATATTGTAAATGTATATGTGAAAAAAATAATTTGGTAGTACGATTTGCTAAGGAGACAAAAATATTTCTGTTTATTCTTATTTCGTGCTTATATTTGAATAAGTTAGTACAATAGAAATTTTCAGTAAAAAGTTGCAGTAAAAAATCTAAAAAAAAAATTCTGGATGAAGAGTTAATAATTTAAACGTATAGAAGTATGTTGTCATATATATAAAAAAGAAAAAATCGCGTTTGTTGTTTTCTATTTTTCTTTTTGTTCACAGGTTGAAGTAAATGATAAGCAAATAATAAAAATGTCTTGGTAGAAAGATATTCGTCAGTACCTATAAATAAAAATACAAACATATACAAACACAAAAGCACTTGCATTTATGTATGTTTGTCATTGCGAAACCGAGTGTGTTTGTTGGTTTACTACTTCTGTTTTTGTTAATTAGTTGAAAGGATAAATGAAAGCATTAGTAAGAAAACACGTAAGCGATTCGAGGGAAAAATCACACGATGTTTTATTTGTGCAGGGCTGGATGAGGACAGATAGAATTTGCAAATTGCAAAAAGTATCTAGTTTTTAAAACTAGAATAGTGTGGAAATTAAAAAATTATAGTTCCGGCGGTTAATTACATTCGAAA